CAAATGGAAAAAAAATGGAAAATGAAATGGAAACTAGGATTATCTAGGGAGTTTTAAGGGTTATTGTCTAAACTCCTAGTATCCCCCTTAGATAAGGTTCCTATAGCCACTGGGTCTGTCTTTTCTCCCGGAAGGACTCGTAAGCGAACCTACTGAATCCCTACAAGTCCAGGTCTTTCCTGAACAGCAAGCCCGGAACTCCATGTTCAACAAAAGTTCTTAAAGCCCTAAACTCTAAACTCTAAACCCTAAACTCTAAACCCTAAACCCTCAACCCTGAACCCTGAGCCCTAAACCTCAAACCCTGAACCCTAAACCCTAACCCTCAAAGCCTAGACCCGGAGCCTGGGTAAAGGAGCCCAGCTGGGTGGTGCCTCCTGCCCTGTGCTGGGCCACATCCACTTCTTTTGCGAGGTGCTTTCAGGGCATAGGGTTTAGGGTTTAGGGTTTTAGGGTTTTAGGGTTTAGGGTGGATTTCCTAATAGGGGTTATATAGGGGTTATATAGTATTGTGGGGTCTATATGGGGGTCCCCTTATTTATGGAAACTCCTATATCAATGCTGAGGATGTTTAGGGTGCAGGGTTCAAGGTGGAGTGTTATGGTGCCCCTAAGCCTTAAACCTTATTACTAGTGTCCCTACACCCTAAACACCAAAGCTTATCATAAGTGTAGGCTTGTGGAGTTGGGTTCAAGGTTGTCTACTGCTGTGATGTTTGCTGGGAAAGGCACAACCTTAGTGACTCAATGCTTTTATCCGGTGGTCGTAGGAAGCATTCTTCAGCGGTATAAGTATAAGGCTTCATTGAAGTCTTGCGAGGGTCCTCACAACAAAAACCTCGGATGGCTTCTCTTCTGAGTTCCTTATGATAAGGGTCCTAACAGAAGACGCACATCTTCAAAACTGCTCGTATTGTTTAGGGTTCAGGGTTTGGCTTTAGTACACATCCAAAGTCTTGTACACTTCCTGATATCGTCACGCTGAATTCTAGGCTCTAGTGTGTGGTGCTTGAAATTCCCAGCGTTTTGCTTCATGAATCGTGGTCTAAAAAGGGTTTAAGGGTTTAGGGTTTACGGTCTACGTAGGCTTGAGGTGGTTTTAATCTTCTTGATGTCACCCCTGTTTCCCTTTAGTAAGGCTGAAATTGATGGAACATGTGTAGCGCTTAAGGTTCAGATCACCGCCCGAAACCCAACACCCTACACCCCAAACTCTAGACCCTAGATGATTTCTTGGCCCACTGGCATGATGGTGAAGCTTGCTGTGAGTTAGTAGGGAAGGAATGCAAAGGACAATGGAAAGTACTGCTTTGGAATTAGGGTTGAGGGTCAGGCTCCACCTATAGGTAGGGATGAATCAAAGAATGGAAAAGAAAAAGAAAGCTACGATTTTGTTGTCTGGTGTGACTGCCGAAGTCTCTTGGACGGCCTCGTTATCCTTATATATATATATATACTTTCGCCCGTTTAGAAACAGCCCCTTGGAGGCAGTGGTGGTCCATGCCATAGAGTTATTTGCTTGGAACTCTAACACGGGGGTGGAGCCGGAAGCCTATTGCAAGCCTCAGTGGATCATGGATCCTAAGGATGCCTTAAGTGGTGCCCCCACCCAGTAATAGTGACTATAGGGGATAATAGGGATTCTATTAGGGTCCTCTTATATTCTTATTATACCCCTAAACCCTAAACCCTAAACCCTAAATGGGGTCCTCCTATATTCTTATTATACCACTATTACAGGGTGGGGTGTCCTCCTACAGGATGCCCCAGAAAAAAGGGCCCCCGGATTGAAAGGATGAACTAACCCTCAGGAAGCTCCAGCAGGCCTGAATCTCCCTTGAGACTCCCGTAACGGGTTGTATTGGTCCCTTAATCTGTTTAGGTTTGGGGGTGTCATTGGGATCCAGTGAGCTTAGAGTTCTGCGCGCGACAAGAACAAACCCTTTTCTATTTTCCGCTATGAGGAGCATTATGAGTACTGTAAGGCTCGCCTTGGGGAGCTATGTAGCATTACCCTTGTGGAGCGGAAGCAAATTGGACCCCTACGATCTTGAAGGTGTGCCCATCGGCAGGGACACGGAACAGTCTTGTGATCTTCAGCTGCCCTTCCCCCTGAATTCCTTAACCTCTCCTGCTCTAATTCGAATTGTTAAGGACGAAATTCTGACTCCCACAACCTGAATCTTACACTGCACGACCTAAACGCCTGTCTTTAACCTGACGACCAACTTTGCCCAATCCGAAAATCCTTAGACGATGAACCCATGAACCCTGGACTCAGCTGTAAAGGCTTGCAAGCTTACCCATGTAATGCCCTTATACCCCTTATGTAATAAGAGTGTAATTTGATCCAAAATCCTGGCCTACATGTTGAAGCCTGTTTAGGCACCTACATCAGGCCTAAATGCATCCAACTTAAGAGTCTTGAACCTGAAGCCTGCCTCTTTGAGGATTTATAGGGTGTAGTGGGACTGCAAGCATAGAAACATGTACATATATATATATGTGTATATGTATATGTATATGTATATGTATAGGGTTTAGTGGGGTTGCTAGTATGGGAATATAGACAGAGTTGGGTATATTGAGTTTAGTATGGAGCTTTTCCAAAAAGTCGGCAGCTACCTGTACCCCAGGTCACCCCAACCACTAGGCCTCAAGGCCTTGTCCCCAAAACGCGGAACCCTCACCCCTAAACTTTGAACCTTAAACCCTAAATGCTAAACGCTAAACCCAAAAACTTAAACCCTATAGCAAGAAGCCCTTGCTCCGGAGAGGCAGAGCCTGTGGCTCCTACGGCGTGTCCTCAGCGCTTGGTTTTGCTCTGGAGTTTTGGCAGCAGCAGACTGCAGTAACCCTTTCCGTCTAAAAGATCCGATCCAATTTGCAATGTATGGTCCCTTTGTACTTATTTGACAAGAGTATACTATACCGCAGTACCCATTCTAGTTAAAGCGGCCCCAAAATTCTCTTTTTTGATGTTCTGCAAGGGGCTGTTACTTGCTCAGGGTTTGAGGCTTGTGGTTTGCTGGGGCTCGACTCAGTAGCATAATTACAACTGTGGGGGAGGGAAGATCCTTAACCTTAAGCCCTAAACCTTACTGGTTGGGAGTTTAGGGGTATAGCCCGAAGGGTGTGGGAGGAGGAGATCCCAGGATGTAGGTCCAGAGCGGGGCATCTAGGCCTGAGGTTTGGGCTTTGGAGGCCTGGCTTTAGGGTTTAGGGTTTTACTTACTGGGGTGTTTGGGTGGCTCATAGTCTTACCGGGGCTTAGTTACGGAGCATGGGAATATGTAGGATTTAGGGTTTAGGGCTAGTCGGGAATAAGGGAATATATCAATATTCCCTCATGCCCCACTAACCCCAGTAAGTGATAGTTTCCCCGAATTAAGGCACCCCAATATGAACCCCAAATTCCTATAACCCTTATTATAGGGACCCCCAAAAGGGCACCCCTAATTTTAGGAAACCCCCCAAGTATAGTCAGCAACTAGACGGTGAAACGTGGCATCAAATCGGCTTAAGTTGCTTCAGGTTATGGTTGTGGTGCGGAGGGGTGCATTATTATGAGGATTTTGGTAGCCCCAACCCCCCAACTTAGGACCCTCGTGTTGGGTTTAGGGTTTAGGGTTTAGGGTTATAGATAGGTTTTTTTTGGGGGTTGGACTTACCCAAATCCTCTCATTGTACACATTCAAAGCCCACGTATGCCCTAACCCCTAAACCCCAAGCTCTTTCTGCCTCAACGAGGAGTTAGGTCTTCAGGTTTCCTCGGGAGAGAAAGATATGTACAATCATGTGTAACAGATGCTTGGCGACATCCCAAAAGCCTTAAACTTTGAAAGCCAAAATGTGGGATTCTCGTCCGAGACTCCCATTTCTTCCACAGAAGGCGTAGGATATTAGGTTTCAGGTTTTGGGGTTTAGGGTTGGGGGCATTTCGCTTGTGCTCTCAGTGCTTACCCGGCCAGACACTGGAGTTCAGAGTTTGCGCAGTCCAAGGCCTGTACTCTTTGTAATGCCTTCAGGAGATCTCCTTCCTCCCATTGGCTTTAGACAAGTCTTGCAGGCACCCGAGTAAGATTTGCTGGGGTGCCACCATTGGAGCTATAGTCTAAGCTCCTTAGAGGGGGCTATATGGGAGATTACAACCGGGATTATGTAGGAGAGTATGATAGGGGTTACGAAGAGGGTTACTAAGAGTTTAGACTTTAGATCATTGGAAACTTACACCTGGGGCCGAGAAAGCAAAGCTCAGGGCTTACCCTCTCTATGGTTGTCCAGCATCCTTAACTGCTAAACCCTAGCCATGAGGGATGGGGCTGTAGTCCCCCTTAAGAAGATAGAATATGGGGTATATGGGGATCTTATGATAATGTACCCAAAGCCATATCCTATCTACTGAAAGGGGGACTATATATCCTAAACCCTAAACCCTTATGATGCTGCAGCAAACTACTTCAAGCCTCCAAGCTCGTTCGGGGGTTTTGGGTTTGGAGGCACCCATTCCAGCTTGGATTGAGGTTTAAGGTTTAAGGTTTAGGGTCTAGGGGTTTGGAGTGATACCTAAGACGCAGGGCACCTTTGGCCCCTCAACAAGAGGGATCGTGATATTGATGGTAAAAAGTTGTGGTAACAGCTTTCGCCTAGGTGATCTCCACAGTGCTAGCCGTAGTCACAGCTGTATTGAGCAATATTTCGTGTGTATTCTGAAGGGTAAGAGCCTAAACCTTGAACTGTCCCAACCTCTGATACCTTCAACCATAGACCGTCCTAAGCCCAAAAGCGCTCAATCCTCAACAGCTTAAACCCCGAAGTGCCGTCAAACCCTAAACGCCCCAAGCCAAAGCCTCAACACCCTAACTCTGGCCCCAAAGGTTTAAACCCAAAACCCTAAACCCCGCAAACCCTAGACCTCTTGATAGCTCAGGACACCTGCTACCCTTGCAGGGGCACGTGCGCGCGGCGGCGGAAAAAAGCTCCGTGGCGTTGGCGGAGGTCATGCTTCCCCGGCTGTGCCCTGGCGGTTCAGGGTTTAGGGTCTAGGGGTTCAGTGTTTTGAGCTCAGGGTTCTATGGGGTCATGGGGTCACATCGGGGAATGAAAAATCAGAGGGAAGAGAATATGGAAAATGAAATGAAAGCTGGGATTATATAGTCGTTTAGGGCTTGTGGTTCAGATCTTAATACCGCAGCATAAGGATATGTATATATATATGTATATACATATGTCTGTGTATATATATATATGCATAAATACATATGGAAAATGGAAAATCAAATGGAGAAAATGGAACATGAAACGGAGGCTGGGGTTATGTTGTGGTTTAACTAGAGTACAGGATAATATGGGGATGAGGAGTCTTAAGGCTTATCACATAAGGTCTAGGGTTCAGGGTTTGTATAGGATGTAGGAAGTTTCAGGTCAGATCAGGGTTTTTCCACACGGTTTAGAAAGTTTAAGGTGTATGTAAAATTTGGAGTTAAGGGTTCTCAGATTCTTTAAGAAGTTTCGCGTGCATATTGGGCTTAAGTTTTATGTAAGGTTGGGTTCAGGCTTGCTATAGGGTTTAGGAAGTTAAGTCCACCGAATCTTTAAACCCAAAGCCCGGAAGCCTAAGGCCCAAATCCCAAAACTTTCAAAACCCGATGCCCTAGTGTCACTTTTAAAAAGGGTGCATGGGATAAACCATGTTCCGCGTTGGTTTTTGGCAGGGCGTTTCAGCAGGTAGGCAGGTTATAGCGATCATTCTAGAGGGGAGTGTGAATGTGAAGTTGTTTAGCTGGAGGTGGTATAAGATCCGAAGATCATAGGATTCCGCAACCCTCCCCCATAAGGGGTACCTCCATGTGTGCCTGACTTTTGGCTACCCTGAGGGCATGAACTTAATCCTATCCCTATCAGGAGTAGCCCCCACGCCAACCCCTCATTATCATGATGATGATGATGATCATCATCATCATCATCATCATATATGTATACATATATAATACTTTCCAGTAGCATAACCTAACAGATTAGAATGGTGCTATTAATTCTTAGGGATGGCGGCTTTGTTGTTGGGAGGAAGAGTCTTTATCTGTGAGTAGAATGATACCTTAGGCGCTCGGCGCGATGCAGTGAATAATTGAACCCTTTGAGCCCAAACATCATCACCGTCTCCCAAACTAACATGGAATCCGAATCGTGCTCTATAAAACCTACCGTACCCTCATAAGGGCTCGTATGGTGTCCTGTGTTAGTTGGGGAGAGCAAGCTTTGGAGCCAAAGCTTCCAGAAGCCATAAAATGAGCTTAAGAATCCGAAGTTCCCAACCTCTTGCAAAAATCCAATATACTATATAGTAGTTTCCATTTTCTTTTCCATTACCCCTATATATACCCCTATATATACCCCTATATAACCCCAATATAACCCAATATTATACAATATAGTAGTTGCAAACCTTGCGGCTGTCTTCTTGCGAAAAACTTTGGTGAGGCAAGCCAAGACTCCAGGCCCGAAATCCCAAACCATTAGGGTTATTTTGGGGTTATATTAGGGGTTATATTAGGGATAATGGAAAAGAAAATGGAAACTACTATAATGGGTTATATATTAGGGTTATATTGGGGTCCCACTTTGAGACTTGCCTTCCGCCAGTTAACATGCAAGTCACATAGGACTCTGCTAAAAGGACAGTAGTCTGTATAGGGCCCTTTTGGAGGGTTCCATTTTTTCTGGGGAGTGTATACCCTAAGCACCGAACCTTATACATCCCTACATACCCCTATAACATACCTATATTGTTCCTACAAAACACCTTTTCGGGTTCAATTAATAACCCCAATACTACCCCAATAATATCCTATATTACCCCAATATAACCCTATATTACCCTATGTTGCCTTACACTACCATGATTGTTTCGGGCAGGGTATTTTCTCAGGAGACAAAGCGCCCTGCTCCTGAAGCTCAGCAGCTGGATCCCTGGTTTAGGGTTTACGGTTTAGGGTTTAGGGGAGTCCATGGAGAAAGCTCTCACAGGCGACCTTGTTTTGGTGGGGGGTTTAGATCTTCCATCCTAGGGGGAGTGTTTGCAGAAGGGTGGGAATTTCATTCATTTGTGGGGGGCCGGGCTCTGCTTCAATTTCTGATTGAAAGAGGAAGGCATACGTGCGGGACGAGGATCCGTACACAGGTTTTTCTAACCTCAACCTCCTTGCAGTAAGCCCTCAGAACCTATGCAGAAGACTCATATTATGATCCTAGATTCCTTGTACGATCCTAGTATAGGGTACCTCAAATAGACTTCAAATAGGCTTGGCAATTACCTGGGCCCTCCGGCAGTCTTTTGAACCTGTAGCCCGGAACTTTTGGGCCCCTCGAGCCCCAAATTCCACTTTCAGGCTCATGGGTAGTTATAGGTGCAGTTGTCCCCTAGTGCAGGCTGGTGCCATATTCATCCTAGTTGCGACTCACTTATAAATACTCATGACATCTGAACCCCAAACCTTGAACACTCAACATCTCCCCCGATCTAAGAAACACTAAATGCCATGGGGGCTTACGGGTTTAGGGTTTCGAGTTATTGTTCAGGGCTTAGGGTTCAGGGTTTAGGGAAACCCTAAACCCTAAACCCTAAATAGGATTGTGGACCTCCACGAAGTACGGCCTGACCTGAGTAGAGCCTTCAACAACATGTGGGGATTTCTTTCAAAGAACCTTCCTGGACTGGGTTGCTGTTAGGGAACTTAAATTCAGTTACCATAATGGGTATACCTGTCATTAATATGGTTTCCCGGATATAGTAAGTTAGTTTAAGTTCCTTAACAGCAACCCAGTTGAATCCTGGCTAAGGACCCCTGTAACCCTTTTATGATCCCTATATATCCCTAGGGTCCCCAAGGGCTACCTACTTTGACCCTAAACAGGCCTGAGAAGACCCCAGAATGTTGGTGAGGTCCAGCCACGAAAGCTGCGCGCATCCCGCAGAGTCGACAGGCGGGACAGCCTGTAGAGAGGTATGTAGGGAGTATGAAGACGTATATAGGGATTCTATGGGCACGCATAAAGATACAGGGACCCTACATGTTCTTATGATCCCTTTGTAGGGTTCAAAGGGACCTTTTATATTCCCAATCCCAAACACTTCATCCTACATCCTGAACTGTTTTTACCTATCTTCTCAGCTGAGTAGTATTTTTATTTGGGGATACTATGGTACCCAATATAGAGTAAGATTGTATCCTCCTCTTGGGGTATCGTATTTTATATAAGGAATATAATCTTGCTAGGTTCAACCACCAAAAAATCACATTACTTAATATAACCCCAATATAACCCCAATATATACCCTATTATAATATAGTAGCTTCCATTTTCTTTTCCATTATCCCTATAAAACCCCTATATAACCCCTACGTAACCCCATAATCCCTAAACCCTAAACCCTAAACCCCTAAACCCTAAACCCCTCAACCTAACCACCAAAAAAACACTACTCAGTTGACCGCTCGGCTCATCGACGTGGCGCGTGCGCTGAGCCTGCGGGCAGCGCTGCAAAGCTGGTAGCATGGCAAACCTGTAGGGTTTAGGGGTTTAGGGTTTAGGGGTTTTGGGGTTTGGGGTTCAGGGATTAGGGTAGATTTGGGGTTTAGGGTTCAAGTATTTTTGGTCCAGAGTTAAGGGTTTAGGTCTTTTAGGATTTTGGGGCTTAGGGTTTCGTTCGGTTCGAGGGTTTTGGGTTTGGGATTGGTGCGGTTTTAGGGTGTAGCTTTTGTGGCAGAATTATTTTCAGTACTTGTTCCTAGGCCTTCTACTTACGATTATAGTAGATGTCACGCGAAAAGACGTTTCCATTATTCCACTCCCCTCGCCTCAAAGCATTCAAGCAATGGGTCTTATAGGGATTATATATGGGTAGTATAAGGGTTACATAGGGATGATGGAAAAGAAGATGGAAACTACTAACTAGGGTTTGGGGGATTGGGGCTCAGGGTTTTGGGGCGTAGCATTTAGGTGCTTGGGATTAGGGGCTGACAACGGTCCAGGGTTCTATTTCTGCGTAGTTAGTGTTTGAGGTGAGCTTGTGGTAAGGTTGGGACATCTAGCTCTAAACCTTAAAATCCCCCCAAGTGCCAAGGCCAAGGCAGGGGTGAGCTAATCCACCCAGAGCAGAACAACATGAGTGCAAGTAAAGTGCTCTGAAGGATGAAGGGGGCTGAACTTAACGCATCAAAAAAACGGTTTTTTGGGTTGCTGGTATATACGGCCTCTGGTATGTAGAGTATCCAAAAGGAAACCACAAGTTTTGCAACCCGTAGAAGTTGACGAACTGCCGATGAAGGCCTAGGAATTGAAAGTTTACGTCGCCCTAAACCCCATACACCCCAAAGCCTAAAAACTACATAGCCCGTTATAGTAGTTTCTATTTCATTTTCCATTACCCCATAAAACCCCTGTATAACCCACATCTTACCAGTTTAAGTGTCACTATGACCCAGCAAGCCAAGTCTGCCCTGCGAAAAGCCACTTGCTGGACCCTGTCGAATCTCCATCCCAAGCCGCGAGAAGATAACCTCAAACTTTATCAAGTTCAGCAGCCACCCCAAAATCGTACCCCTAAACCCTAAACCCCAAACCCAAACCCTAAACCCTGATAATTTTAGGAAAGCCCAAAATCCCTCATTAGGGCTATCTTCCCAGGCTCAGGGCAAAACACAAATTCAAATTCCTTGATCCAAGAAAGCCGATGTGCTCAACCCTGGAATACAAAAGCTTCGAACCCCTGAGTTTAGGATTTCGACTTGGCAGTAGAGGGGTTTGAGGTTTGGAGTGTAGGCGTTGAGGCTTAGGGTTTAAGAATTGAGGTTTTGGGCTTAGGGCTTAGTGAAGCATAGCCTTCCTCTGATCTGTTCTTGCTGCCCCCTTAACCCTCAAACTCCCTTTAACCGAAAACCTAATACCTACACCCCAAACCCAAAACCTAATCCCCACGCCCTGAACCCTAAACCTTACTCCCTAAACCCTGATCCCTAAACCAAATCCCTAAACCCTAAACCCGAATCCCTAATCCCTAATCCGGTTGCTCCTGAGGCGACTGCAGGTGGCGAAGGCTGGAGCATGGCTGCTGATCCCTTGCTTACTTAGCAGACCCCCAAAGGGGCTTCAGATAGATTACATGGCGACATATGAGCTATAGTCTAAACTCCTTAAAGAGGGTTATATATAGGGGATTATATGGGCGAGTGTTATAGGGGTTGTTAAGGGGGGGACTGTAGCGCATATAATAGGGATATACAGGCCTTAGGTGATATAGTCCCCCAAATTAACCTTCAACATGGGCTTGTTGTTGAAGAAACTACTTAGAGTTTCATGTTAGTTTGGGGAGAGCGTATGCTGGGTCACAGTTGGAACTTTAAAGAAAAGTCTTGGTGGTCACTGAGGAAGCAGTATGCTGAGACCCTTCTCGGGGACAGACGGCCACAAAACCCTATCCAACTTGAATGATGGAGATGCCTGTGTTGTCCTTTGGTATCTCATGCATTGTAAATGCCCCTGTTAAGGTGATAGCTGATAACTCCAGCTATTCTACATAGGAGCACACGTATAACTACACCACCACTGCCTTCAAGCCTCATGCCTCAATTTATGAGTATCCTTATAGGGATACTATAGTCCGCTAGATAGTTCAGGATTATCATGTTTAAGGATGTAGTAGCTTAAAAGAAGCAGATAATCTTACTTGGTCAAAAAACTAATGACTCTCCACGATTAGTGGCGTAATGTAGACCTGTGAGAAAAAACCCCTCCTGTTAAGGGCCTCAATGTTAGGATCCCTATTTTGTCCTTTTTGTTTCGGGGTTGAGGTGTATTAATCGGGGGTCCACATCAGGCCCTCAAAGCCTAAACCCTAAACTAGTTGCTTAGCTTCTCTGTTGGCTGAAAGCTCTGGCAGGAGCGAGCCTTCAACGCCATGCTCATGCTACCCGACGACGAGGCTGATAAGCTTTCCTAAAGTGTTGAATTCATGTGAGCTATAGTCTAAATTCCTCAGAAGGGGTTTAAATAGGGGATTATGCAGGGGAGGATTCTAGGGCTTAGGGGGATGCTAGGGGCTTATATTGTAGCTCATGTACTAGAGCCCATTGCTATGCTTCCTACACCCTAAGCACCTGTTCAGGAAAGGAAGGGGGTTACTGAGGTACCTTCCAGGGGGACCTTGAAGCCCAGGGACCCCTAAGTGAGTTTATTGGGATAACGGAAAAGGAAATGGAAACTACTATTTAGGGTTTAGGGTTAACTTTGGGGTTATAGTAGGATAATGGAAAAGAAAATGGAAACTACTATTTAGGATTTAGGGTTTAGGGTCAATATTGGGGTTAGATAGGGATAATGGAAAAGAAAATGGAAACTACTATGTTATAATAAGGTATATATTGGGGTTATAGTCCCCATGATGTAGATAGAATATGGTGTTGGGTATATTATAGTAAGATCCCCATATACCCCATATTCTATCTACTTAAGGGGGACTATAGTTTTTAGGGTTTGGGGTTTAGAGTTTAGGGATGTACCCGAAACCTTACAAGAGCCTCAAGTAGGTCATTGTTGGACATGATTGCTAGTCTCCAAAACATCCATGACGTAAAGTGAAGTATTCGTTTTCCGAGAATGTCCAAGCGAGGAGTTTGATAGTTGAAGTTCGTTTTAGAAAGGTTGCCGACATTGACCTCCAATCTCAGCCCCCTGGCTTCACGGCAATGAATATTCCCAGCACTTGCGAGTTTCCTAAATGGAGATCCTGTTTTATGCGCCCAAATATTGTATTCCTGAATATACGGACTCTCAAAAGAGCCTCCTAAGCCTTGGAAACCCTAACTTCAGTAAAGCCCACAAATCCCTACATCCTTACAAAATCATCCCTATTCAGCACTCTACCTGCACAAACAAACCTAAACCCTAAACCCCTCCTTTTTGCAAAGCCCGCCTCAGCCAGACCTGCCAGGATTTCGCAGCAGTCGATGCACTGGAATCTGCTCCTTACCTCAATGAGTGTACTCGTCTTACCGGAGGTTAACGGGGAAAAAGGGAATGTAATCCCTATATAAAGCCCATATAAACCTTATAGAATCCTTATATATTCCCTACATAATGCATGCCCTACCCCAAGCCCTAAACCCTAAACCCCTTATTCTCTACGAATCCCCAGAAAGTCAGTGTACTCGTTAGGTCTCCATGGAGCCAAAGCGTAAACTCAACCTTTCCTCGCCAAACCTGTAACGGGTTTAGGGTTTTAGGGTTTAGGGTTCAGGGTTTAGGGGTTTAGGGTTTAGGGGTTTAGGGTTTAGTGGTTTAGGTTTAGGGTTTAGGGGTTTAGGGTTTGGGGGTTTAGGGTTTAGGGGTTTAGGGTTTAGGTTTAGGGTTTAGAGGTTTAGCGTTTGGGGGTTCAGGGGTTTAGTGTCAAAGAACTTTCCAAAACTTTGCGGGGGTTAATATAGGGATAATGGAAAAGAAAATCGAAACGATTGTATTATAATAGGCTATATATTGGGGGTTAGCAGGGAATAAGAGAATAGATTGTATTGGGGTTATGTTATATACGGATCATATTCCCTTATTCCCTACTAACCACCAGTAAGAAATGGCTATCTTGTTCCGTTTTGGAGATAATGTCCATATTCGGGTCTTGGATTAGCTAGGAATGAGGGAATGGATCCGTAGTCCCTATATAGCCCCATTATGGTAGTTTCCATTTTCTTTTCCATTCCTTAACCAAAGGCCAGTCTCAGCAATTTGCGGCAGGGTCCCTCATGGATCCAGCCTAGGTGATGTGAGGGCTTTCCATGTCTGATGTGTATGTCGCTATTGGATTGGGGTTTCCGAAAATCAGGGGCACTTTTCTGGGACCCCCGAAACAACGGAACCCGAAGCCCTAAACCCTCAACCCTAGACCCTAAATTGTTCAGTGGAGACTGCCAGGATGGAATGTGTTAACATGAGCAGCACCCACAGCACAGTCACTACACAGAGATTCAACGCCCTGACGTTGAGCCCTGAACCTGGCTCCCATTCTATACCAAACCACAAGCCCGAAGCACCACAACGCCTATATGAGCCATAGTCTAAACTCCTCGCGTCCCTTAGTGACCACTAGGGTAGTCCCCTATGTAGTCCCTTGTATACCCCCCCAATAAAGGAGTTTAGACCCTAAATCCTAAACCTTAAACGCTATAGAATCCCTTGTATAGCCACCGTTTATGGAGCTTAGGATATAACCCAAATTCCAATCACCTGAGTCCAATGGCCTAAACCTCAAAACCCCAGGGTTTAGGGGTTAGGGTTATAGTCCCCCTTAAGTAGATAGAATATAGATGCGGGTTTTTTTATAACAAGATCCCCATAAACCCCATATTCTATCTACTTAAAGGGGGACGAATATCCTAAACCCTATAGGGTTCGATGAAGTTTTCTGAGACCTCAAGGCCTCCACTGGCTCCACGACGAGGTGCTGCTGCTGGTATGGGGGTTCGTTTCAGACAGCAGGGAGGCTTTAGGGCTTAGGATTCGTTTAGGGTTCGTCTGAATCACAGAAGACGAGGTGCAGTACGTCTTTTGGTGCCCCCAAACCCATGTTTTGAAATTCTTTCATTGATCTTCTCCTGAATATTCAGGCTTTGCGAGAGATGAGGGATGAGGTTATAGGGGTGATAGAGGGATGGAGGATTTGGGTGAGGGTTCATAAAGGCCTTGGTGAGTGATAGGATGGAGTCCAGGATTTCGGGTGTAACCCAGACCCCTGTTTAGGGTTTAGGGTGTAGAACCCCGGGATTTTGGGATCAAAATAGGGATCCTAATATTCAGGCCCTTAGAAGGAGGGGTTTATGAATCATGGCTTTACATTAGTGTCTAGTAGGTTCGAGGTTTCAGGGTATGAGAGATTTTAGAGCTACATGGTGATTAGATACGGAGTAAAGTATGGGAAGAACATGGGACAAAGATGGATACCATGGGAATACCCGGCGTCCTCTTAGACTGCAACCAGTCCTACTGCCCGAACACTTTACCCCGTTCGGTAAGGCCTTCTGTTAGGGCCTTCTGGTCCTCATTCGGACATTGGACAACTGGACCCCACAAAGCACAGCGAGTGAGAGAACGAGGCACATGCAGTGTTGTAGATTGTGCAATTGTTCCATTGAACTTATTGCTCCATTTCTTCATCTTCAACAGAGGGCTTGGATTTCTTTACATGAGTCCAAATGGCACTTCAACAGCATCACGTATAGAACGCTTTAATTTTCATCCCAAACCTGATACGGACCCCGAATGTCTGGAGACCTTCGAGTCCAAGCCTAAAGCCAATATGGGTGGTTGTCAAAAT